GGATTAACCGAAAAGAAAAAAACAATCGTTTGCCTTAAACGAATGCATAGTTAATTTTTTAAAATTTATTATGTCGGCCGTATGAGCAGTAATAACAGAAATTGAGTTATGAAACGGTTCCCATTTACTTGTCGCCGCCAAACAGACACTGAAACTTCGTCGAAACGGCACAATTTAACTTAATGTATGCGCCGCCAATCCGTTCGACTTACTATTATTTTTATACACTACGTTGCTTCTCGTTTCAAATAATTATAGTTTAAAGTATAATAAACCATTTCTTTTTTTTTACTCAGCAAAACTAAGCCGTTCATTATTTTAACAGGCTCAAATTAACTCATTAAATACTACGTACACGGTACCTATGGAATAACAAACACTAATATACAAAAAAATATTTAAAATATAAGAGCCTTAAATAGAGAAAAATTATTGTTAACATTATTACATTATTGTAAAGTCTTTATCAATGGGTAGGAACTTATGAAAAATTCGTGATTGAACCATTTACAACAACATAATTTATAAACAAATTTATTAATAATTAAGTTTAATTAAATTCTACAGCCGGATCGTTTTATTAAGATAAAACTATTACATTTTATTTATAAATCAATAATTTAATTATTCGTAATAATTAAAAATATTATAAGCTATTTGGAAGAATGTTTTAGGACGTTATTTGACGTTAAAAATGCAGATAACTAAAATTAAGATCGAAAATTAGAGATACAAATGATAAAATAAGAAAAAATCAAAGTGGAAAATATTTAACAATAACCTATAAATTATAAATAAAGTATAAACCATTCTGATAATGCGCTTACGTTGAAATATTATTCCAGTAAAACTTATCGTTAACAAAACTACTCTATTATAGATAGGTAGGAATAAATTTAGTTAAAAATTAATTTTACAAAATAATTTGTAGTCAAGTTTTAACACTCATTTATTTTACTAACACGGTAGGTTAGAAAAAAAATGTAAATCGTTATATAACAATATCTATATAATAATATATATAAAATAAACCTTGTTTATCACACTTGTTATTATTGATTAATCCGTTAAATTAATTACTGTCATTTTAATTAACCAACGAAAATTAATCCATGAGAATCTTATTCTTTTTATAATTTATAATTATATTATCCAGTTCAATTATAAATTATATTATGTTATAATATTGTTTATAACTAGTATTAACGTTATTTTTAAAAGTAAAATACAAAAATATGCCATAAGAGCATTTTAATGACCAGACAAGTGTAATTTCTTGAAAACAAAGAGTTATAAATAACCAACTACCCACTGAATACATTCCAAGTAATTTAATGAACACTTATTAAGCAATAACAAATAAAATTATTAAAAAATAAAGATTTTATTCACCAAAAATATCATTTACCCTTACATTTTTTACTTAAGTAAATTAAGATTTTGTAATATTTAATTTATTATAGATTAAAATAATACTAGGAAATAAACAGCATGTAATCTCAATGAAATTATGATTTACATTAATATAATGGATACACTTTAATTTCTAAGAAATAACAATCAGATTTATTTTTAAACATAATGTTGAGTGCAAGTTGGAAATACCTACAAGTATACGACGAACACTATCAATAAATAATGAGTATATTATTAGTACATGCATTATACCTAGTTTTGCAGCCACCATTACAGAAAATTATTTGAAAAACGTCCGTTTTGTATTTCAACATTCAAAGGGTAAATCCATTTTTATTATTACCCTTACGGTAAGTAAAATAGTTTTTCATATAAGAAAAGAAACACAATCATCCAGAGATTAATCAAACAAAAACTCTACAAAAAGGGTAGACACAGACAGTTTGGTTGGGTTTGATATTCGCGGCCCAGGTTACAAGCAGAAACGGTTGGCATTACAGTTATTTAAAGGGAGTTCAACAAAACAACCCAAAGGTATCGCGATTTTCACGGTAGTAACTTATTCTTTCAATTCATCCGACGATCAAGTTTGGTATGAAACCAAGTCTCAGGAGTTTTTGCCAATAAAAAAATAATAACGTTGTTACAACACCAATAACTACCTGAGAGCTTACACCATTGAACAATCACACAACTAAGTAAGAATTTTCCGGTCGAATTCTAAGTTTGAATAGGTTATAGTTATGTTAAACTCGATAACAACGATAAATTCGTATAAGCCTTAAAAAGGACGAGTAGTGCATGGCAAAGAGCCAACTCGTAAAGGTCTACTATACAATATTCTATCGAATAGGAGCTTAATAACGATGATCACGCAGAATATACGGACAGCACACCACACTATATGTCATATGTTATTCTCAACAGTGATTTATTGTAAAATACAAAATTCAAGTTACTTTGTTTGATCAAAAAAAAATTAACCCTTTCTTAAACTTACTTAATGTGCGCATATTTTTTTTCAGCAAAGATCAATAAAAGTCGAGTACTTTCAGAGAAAGCGCCACCCAAACATATTTTATGCAAAAACCGTCAGCTATTTTGTTTGTTTGCCCAATAAATAAAATCTGTTTATCAGCTATAACGATATGATAATACAGACTACAAGAGCCAAGGGGAAACGACGACGTTTATTATATGCCCATACAGTTTATAACGTCGGCATAGAAAGTCTTTTCCGTTTGATTTCTTTTGTTTACGATATCTAAAAGAAAAAAATACTTCCACTGCGGTTAGAATCCCTCTTTTTAACGGTTGTCCGCCGTTTCTGACAACAAAAAGGGTACGGTTTTGGCAAAGACAAAATACAATGCAACCTTAAGCTAATTAGATTCATCGCGTTCCTTATTCAGAAATGTCCCGGACAGTGACTAATGTTGATTCGATTCAATTAATATCAGTCTTGAAATCCCGCCAAAACAGGTCAATTGTATGTTTAATCGTAGTTCAATTTTAGGCCAATAATAACAAAATTCGTTTTTTCCAAAATAATAAAATTAATGTCAATATTATAGAACCTATATCATAACCTGAGATCCTTCAATTAACTATCATTAGTCTCTCAGCTATGCATTACTTTTCTGAAGCATTGTAAACCGTGTTACAAATTAAATTGAATAATAATTATTGTATTTAGATTAAAGTTACTACTATGTTATAGTAGAGCACTTACACGATACATTAGTTTCAAGCTAACAAGGTCACTCGGACAACACGCACTACACAGGGGCAGTACTTAGAGAAATACAAATTATTAGTCGAATAAAAAACACATAATACACTACTAATATACCACATGAGCTACAACTGTTCCCAGTGGTCGTAAATCATTCGAAATGCGACAAAAAAAAAAGACACGTTACTATTTAAAAACCTGTACAATTATAAGTTTGCCTAAAAAATAGTCAGACGAATAATATTAAACGATTAACATTTCCAAGTAAAATTTTTAGATGTTAGTCCGTGTTAATCCGTCTTGATTAATTATTTCCTTTTTACTTTTAAAAGTTTAAGGGAAACCAACGAAAAATTATTAAGGCAGGTTAACTGTACAAGATGTATTATTAAAATATATAAAACATACTGATAAGTGTAATAACTACCCACTAAGCGTTGGATGAATCAAAACGTTTGGAAAGATGTTACTAAAACGATTTGTCAGACAATAAAATACACAAATAATATTATCACTCCAAACCGGAATTGCGGTATTTTTCAAACTTCGTCGTTCATTTTTATTGCTACATAAAGTACTAAATTATTATAATATATATACACAGTTATAAACCTTATTGATTTATTTTCTAACAATAAAATCAAAACGCTTAGAATAAAAGACCGCTTTGTAGAAAACAATAGCACCAAAAAATTTGATACCAAATATAAATTGCAACGGCAAAATTTACACTATCGAGAGAGATTGGAAATTTTATTTTTTATTTTTACACCAACACTGTTCGGAAAAGAAGTAGAAAGGGAAATAATATAGAAAACCTTTGCAAAACGAAAGCTAATGACAACAATGCGACAGAGTATAATACAGCCGGATGTTGTCCTTTGGCAAACAGCGAATGTATGTAACAAGGGAAGGAAGGAAGCAGATAAACTGAAAAACGCAAGGGAGAGAAAAACCGAATTAAGTTTTTTTCTCCATTTTCCAAACTCATTTTAAGTACTTTATCACTCATTTTTAACTCATTTTTATCGGCTCTATATAAAAGAAACATTTCGAGGTATTATAATATTTATTATTTTATACTGTATTAAAAATGAAAAATATCACAGATGATTTCAATCATTAAATTACAGTTAATTACAAAATACTATCTCAGGGGACAGTTATTAAATTAAAATTTTATGAAACTGAAATGAACATCTTATTTGTTTAAACACAAATATATACGATTATTTTAATCGTCATTTTTAAATAGTATCCATTACGATTTTAACGCAGTAACATTGTTAAAGACTCGGGGGAGTATTAATTTTTATTACCCAATGCTCTCGAATGAAGATAAAATCATTATACCGAATTTTCCCATTCATTTTACACTGTGTTTGATTCGGTCTAATATTGTTTATAACATCTAACTTTAAATTACCAAGCTGTTATACATTGTATAATCAGTGGAAGACACATATTGGTCGGCTATTCCGCTTCTGGTTTTATGTAACAACAAGTAATAGGATGATTCTATGATCAAAATAATAAATCTAAATGAGAATTAAATTTAACAAAAACTTTGTTAGCTAGTAAAATAAGCTAATGTAATGCGTTAATAATATTCAATTATAAATATTCATAAGGATTGTTCGATGTCAAATGAAGATATAATTACAGAGACTGTACAAATGGAATTACACTTTAAAAACAGAATAGGTTGTGGTAATATAATGAACCAAGCAAACGTCAATAGTTATTAACAATTTAGAATATTAACACTTCGAGTTCAAATATACCATAATTTTTAAATACTCTGTTATTAATACTAAATACTTATTAAAATATTATATTTGTAACTCACGTGATCAGCATGCAAGACCGTTTCTGTGGCCACAGCTGTAGCCTCGGTTTGTGTATGGCTGGTACTGGAAATACGATACTGAAGTCCAGATATAGTACAGAATTCTTCGTGTCTCGTAGATCGAGTAGTACTATTGACATACACACCAGTAATGGTGACATCAGTGTCTTGGTTGACAATAACAGCTAGCTGCGACGAAGGCGGCGGAATGATAGGAGGCAGAGGTGTCTGCTGCGCGATTGTAGAATGCGTAGACGATGATTCTTTATGCCCATCTGAGTCTTCGTCTTCTGCGTCGTCCTCAGGTTCTGATCTTACTGAGGACACATCAGAACTAGATGTAGACTTATTTGGCGAATTATCTAGTCCTTTGATTGAAGGAGGAGGTTTCTTTTCGGTTGAATAACTGGCAGCCAAAATAGCAGACGCGTTTAAGCTGGCCATGCGTTTTTTAACTACCATATCTTTTAAATCCATAGTAACTGTATCTGCATTGCGTCTCTTCCGCTTTGAGCCACAGGATGGAGAAACTACTTGTTTAGTCGAAGTTTCTGGACCTTCGTCATCTGTACTTTCGGGTTCAGACACCACAGGCTGTTTTTTAATTCGCTTAGCTGACTTTGGTGGTTCGTATTTTACATCATCACCGCCTAAAAATAAAAAATAAAAATTTTATTAACATAAAAAATTTAGTAATAACATAATTACCAGAAGAAGAACTATTTGAACTGGTATCATGCATATCCCAATGTCTTCCCACACTTTTAAGTCCAGGAGTAGTTCTTTTCGATGTTCGTTTACCTTTCCTGGCAGTAGCAGATGATTTTCCTTTCGATTCCTGTTTAACTTTAGATGATGGCGTAGGGACAGCGACAGGAAATTCAGTGGTGGCAGCAGCAGCGGCTGCAGCCAATGCCGAAGCCGGCAAAGAATCAATCAAAGCACTCTTTGTCTCATTTTCGTAAAGACAGTGCACCTTGGCAATAGCGTTAAGTGATGCTACCCTAGGTCTTTTGGACACTCGTCCTGTTTTAGGTTTAGCTTTTGGTGATACTTTAGGTTTTGGTTTGGTTTTGGTTTTTCCTACAACAGACGCCTTAGTTTTTTTCTCTGCCTTTTCTTTTTTAACATTCTTCACGATTTTTTCTTTAATAGGTTTTGGTTTTGGCTGTTTTTCAGCCTTAGCTTTCGATTCTTTCTTTACAGCAGGTTTAGACATAGCCATTTCGGATTCCTGCTCAGTTTTCACTGAATAAGGCAACTGACTTACAGAAATTTCTTTAATTTTTATACATGTATTATCTTGTCTAATAGTAATTGTATTGCATATTCCTCCATCAAAATCACACACCGGATTATTTTTCAGTTGAAAAACTTGGAGTAAAGGCACGTCATCACCCTTTTCATCCTTGACGACATCCATACAATCCATAGCACTATCTTCAATTTTTTTTATATCATTAAGTTTTCCCTTAGATTTAGCAGACGCTCGGATCACTTTTTTCGGTTTTTCCTTTTTTTCCAATTTTGGGGGCTTATTCAAATCAATATCACTATCCGCTAACTTTTTCGATGCTTTTGCTGCCTGTTTCTTTTTTGTATCTTTAATCACGGGAATGTCTTTCGTTTCTTTTACTTCTTTTGTCTCTTTTAATTCCTTTAACTTTTTTTCTTTCTGTGTCTTTTCTTTGGATTTCTTTTCTTCTTTATCCTCTGTTTTTTTGGCTGCTATGACAGCTTTTTTCAATTTAGGTGGTGACTTGTCTATCAATTTCTCTACACTACCGGTTAATAGAGCTTTACCCTTTTTAATAGCTTCTTTAAGCGGCTTTTTAACAGTTTTTGTTATCAATTTATCTTTTAATTTTTGTTTAGCAGTTTTTTTCAATGATTCTTTTTTTTCTTCACGTTCTTCGAACTCTTTCTCGGCAATTTTCTTCATTGCTTTAGGCGTTTTTATATTTTTTAAATCTGTTTTTTGAGCTTTGTTACTTACCGCCACCTTTTTATTGTTAACATTTTTTTTAACAGCTATTATTGGTCCAGGTGGTGTATCACTAGCGTTAGATGTTCGCTTTTGCTTTACCTTTCCAGCGACTGACTGCTTTTGGCTTTCACCTCCAGCAGACACATCAAAGGTTTTTCTGGACGACATTTCCAAAAAATATTTGGAAGCAATCGTCACTTTAAAGCAAAATTCTACAGTTTACATCTGAAATAAAAGAGTACATAATACAATTAAAGTGAATAATATTTATAATAGAACTATATTTTAATTTAATATTACTTGAAAGGTATTTTAAAACTAATAGTTTTTATTTTAGATGACAATACAATGTAATAAATAGTATACCTCTAACTTTACTAACAGTAACAAGACATGATAATACTCTATGGCTAAAGCCAAATATTTATAGACAATTTTACAATATACTGAAGTTAGATTTTATTAACACGTACTAAAAATCATTAAAAGTGAACACAACAATTTACTTATCCTTTTAAAATACGCTTTACTCTGAAATTTAAATCTATAAAGAATTCGAAATTTCAAATAAATAACACTAACTATCTCGGTACCTAAACGTTTCAAACATAGAAGGAAACCAATTTAAAAAATAGCGTAATATTCATTATTATAATTTTTTAAAACAAATATCATTTTGAAAAGACATCATAAGGTGTTATTCATATCAATTCAAATTAACACGCAAATTTTTGTCACTACTATAAAAAACTATCATTAACATACCAACTACTTAGTCATATGATATCTTGGATTTTCTACACATTTAATTGCAATAAAATTCAGGCTAATTAATAAGAGAAAGTTGAATGTATACATTATTGCACTATAACTCTAAATAGATCAAAACAAAACTGTACTATGTAGGTTGTATTACAATTTTTTATAGAAAAAATATTAACCGAGTAAACGAATGGAGATTTTTAAATTAGTAACAGATACTCCTACAGAATATAAAATACTTTTGCAAAAGAGGAATAATGGTTTTTATTTTTAATATAAACAAAAAATAATTAACATAACTTAAAAAAAAAATTGTATATATAATAGCTTTAACAGGACCCTTTACTCAAGTATAAGAAGCAGTTTTATTAAATCTTTAAATAACTTCTTTAAATTAAGAAAAAAAAATATTTTTATGTTAACAATGACGACACAATAATTACATTGAATAAATAAAAGGAGACACACGAGCAAAAAAGCATTATTGAAATGATATCAAGAAATTTACTTGATTCATACTCGAATAAGGAAAAAAATGAACATAAATGATGACTTGACACATCATAGCCGAACCTAGAAGATATTAATAGACTAGAATAAAGTGCAACATGTAAATTATATATAAGAATGCAACGTTTTGACTAACAAACAAGACACAATCTCAACAGAAAAATAAATAACCATTATATTTTTAGTGGGCAAAAAGTTCTATTTATCGGTTTAATACAACGTGGAAGTCATTGTAACACCCTACATTCCAGCTAGAAAGACAATATTATTGACCTAGAACGAAAGTAAATAATACGAGAACAATAAATAAAACAGTTATCATTGAAGTAGATGCAATATCAAACGCACGTGCCTATTGGTTGTCATTATATGATCTAACAAGAAGAAAGCCATTTGTATAATTAAATACATCGCCTGAACTTAAATACTCATGTAAAACAAAAGTTAATACGCCAACAAATCGCCTTAAGTTTAATAAAAAAAATTGTAAATTAGAATATTATTTCAAAGCTTAATACAACTATTTCGCGGTAATAATGATTCAATAAAAAGTAAAATATGAAGAAAATAACGGTAATTCTAATCATAACTAACCCTATGAATACAAACAACACATATAGTTTAAATTCAATTAATTTATTACGTGAAAATACTAAAAGAACAGTTGTCACACTAACCACAGAAAGGCAAATAAAAGCCCATTACGAGCATTAAATGCATATTTTCAATTAAACATAAATAAATGACTAATAGCTATGGGCCATTTATAGTAGCAGTCAATTAGTCTTATAATAATGAAATTAGAATTCATTGTACAAAAATTATATCATCTTGATTTGGGTTTCGATTAATTAACGGATTGTTGTGAAAATAAACTAAAAACGTTCCAACATAAGAGAAAATCGTACAAAATGTCATGCAGTTCGAAAGAAACAAATCAAATATTTGCTGTAAGCTCTTTTTCCTACCATTAAGAACAATAAAATTGGAACAGTAATAATTTTGAAAATAACATGACTAATAAAAAAATGGTGTAAATATCAAACGTGGTCAACAAAACAAACTATATAATCATTTAGGTTCTATTATTATAGCTGGCATGGTTTATTAAAGGTAAACAACAATTTTTGTTTATTATCCCCATAGAACACATAAAATATAAATCATTATATCCTAGTATTTAGTACACATATAATTATTAAATTTAATCTATGACTTTTGTCATTTTGTCCTAAATAATAGAAATTGGGTGTTATAAAACTATTCAAATTTAAAACATTATGGAAAATACTTTCAACAAAAAACTAATACCTACTTTGAAAAAAAAAAAATAAAAGACTACTAGAACAATCGATACATACATCGTAGGATCAAATGTTTGCACATAATTTTACAAGCATTTTAAAAATACATATAAAAATTTACAAACATTTTAGCATCGATACGCTTTTTTTTGTCACTATACAAGATTACTCTTATCTTACTGGGCCAATTTTACTCAACAATACGTCAAAAGATCACAAAACGTATCTAGTTGAGATTATCAATGTCATAATTTTGAAAAATTGCCGTAAATCCCCATGATCAAACAAATGTCCTAAAAAATTATAGTTGTTATAAAATAGTCAATGTTTTTAGTTTTAACTAAGATGATGACTTTTTGAAAACTGAATGGATTATTGAAAAATTTTAAATAAAGATTGCAGACATTTGCCTTGCCAATGACATCACTGATTGGAATATTCAATCATTAACTAATGTACTGTGGAGTATTTAAGGTACTTATTAATTATATCAAAATGTTTTTCTTTTCAATTTTATATTATGATCCAAAAAACCTGACTTATTTCACATTAAATTAAACGAAATTTTCGATATTTTAATCACTGTCAGATATCAATCAATACCAATTTAAAAAAATGCCGTATCATCACTACGCTAGATCACGACTGTACTGGAGTTTTCTTATGATTATTATTTTTTTTTATTTGACCGATGAGAAATTTCATATTTAAAAAAAGTAGAATTGTAAAAATGTATTCATTGTTAGTTATTATTCTTTTTAAAACAATAAATCCGTGTAAACAATATCAAGATAACACTTGTGGTGTATCCAAAATAACCTTTGATTTCGTTAAACACTAAAATAAATAAATAAAAAACTAGCAACCATAATTGTACATAATTTAACTATTAGAGCGGAAACAAATGGTTGTTAACGCCAACGACGTCAACGAATATAAATATCTTTCGGGTCTAAACAAACGAAACTTATTTAAGAAATCATTATCTCTAAATGTTAATATTGGTCCTATAGTTTCTGGAAATTAAAAAAAACAAATGTAATTTTGAATATTATTTTAAAATTAAGCATGTTGGGAGTACAACTCGTGTCATACATTTTCAAAAACGATATGAGAGAAAACAGTTTCTCGCGATCATAATTCTGTTGTTGACACAACACTCTTCAACGACGACGCGAGTTTCGTCTTCCGATGGCACGCCGTTTTACGGTATTTTTTCGTGGCTTACATACGTTTCGTGAAGCAGTGGCGACGGCAATGAGTTGACCCCAATTCCGAAGGCGCGCGCGTTTATTGAATGAAAGTGGAGGGGAAGAGAGAAACACCCGAATATCGCAAACGCTGGCGTTACCTCCGCGGCTACTAGCGGCAGCTGCGGCACGTCCGGCCTGCCGTCGCGACTACTGCCACAGTACAGCAAAAAAAAACACAAATGCTTCAAGTTTCTTTACTGCCGCAACATTCAGACATAATTCCCTAATGCCAAGATTACATCCGTCAACCGTTATATAACTAAAACTATCGTTAATTTACATAATAAAAAATACAGTAAGTGATTTTTTGAGTACAAGTATACAAAATAATGAAAATTCGTTTTCTCGTACCTCGTGTAGCCACCGGCGGGCGGCGGCAGTGGTATACATTGATTGGCCACCGGCAGCAACGGCCGGCGCCCTGTTCGCACTCAACGCGACGCACTCGCGGCAAAATAACACACGAAAACAAACACTTCGAAACAATTTCAGATTACACTTCACGAATAACACGCGCGTACACTCGGCACGGCCGCTTTGGCTATTTAATAACACAACACAATACTTTTTTATTTATTATTTACCATTTGATATGAAAAATAATCGCGGGAGCGACACGGCAAACACCGTACTACAGCGAACGACAAACGCGAACAATGCACTACCGATTGCTATGTGCCGTAATCGGTCGGCGGAGAGCCAATAATGGTAGGAAGGTAGGGCGGTGTTGACGTGTTTGCTCGCGGAATGCTATCCCCGCTGGGGGAAGACGCAACAACAGCGACTTCTAGCGGACGAGTATAACTTAACAGTTTCCAAGTGATGACTATTTAACTATTCATTTCACCTAAGAAACAACTGAGCGACGAAAACACATCTCCAAAATAAACACATTACACTTTTCATTACTTCTAAAACAATTTTTTTCAACGTTCTATTTAATACGATGCTCTGTTTAAAGTCAAAAAGAGTTTTGATAGATGTTTTTTGCTACAATAATTATTTGTAAAATTGGACTTGTTACCCGCTCAAATATTATTTTAGTACGTTAGAAAATCAAATCAAAAACAATTTCATTTATTCTCAATGAGATCTATCTTAGAAAAATGCTACTTCACTTTATTTTTACTTACATTGTCGCAACAGCCCTTTAGAACGTTAATTTTATTAAAAACCGTTATGAGTCAAATAAAAGTCCATTAGGTTAAAAAAAATTTTAAGGTCAATAATAGGTTAATAACTTCGATTTGATAATCGTATTATTATAAGACGAACGTTAATATGAAAATCTTTATTGAATTTTATAATTCTAAATTAGTTATAAACGAACGTCAGAATAGAATTAAAAGGCCTATAAAATAAGTTTCATAACACAGTCAAAGGATCCGCCAATAAAATCCTATTTTTATGATAGAAATATCCATCTCTGATTGTTGTGATGAAGATTTAATAGTTAATTTAATCACTCATTTTTCAGCAGTGTATTACAAATTTATCAATTTTTTAAAATCTGACTTTTCACATAGTGATAGTGGGTAGTTAAACATTTTTTAATATTAAACATTTAACTTTAAAAACGTTTTGAAATTCCGAATTCTTAAATATAAGTTACATTTTAAGTTATAAATTACATTACAAGTTTAAAATAGTAATGTATTCAGAATACTTTTATTACCTTAAATCGTTAGTAGGGGTGTAAAAATTAAAATAAACAAGTAATGAGTAAAAAAATATAAAAATATATAAACTGTGAAATTTTCTCAAAATTGTTATGGATTCTATTCATGGTATAAATTTACGAGTACTTTAAAATTCTCATCTTTTAATTACACAAATATTCTATAAACATGGACATCAAAATATATGGATAGAGTATTTGTCATAAACAATTTATTAATCTAAAAATATTTCGTTATACATAAATCAACTTTATCATTTCAAAATCATTAATGACCTAATTTTTCATTTCGAATTTCAAACCAAAGATTATAAAAACTATATGACATATAGTCAGTGTTTCGGACATTAGACTAATTTTATAAAATAATAATACATTTTATGCATATAAATCAACTAACTACATTTAAAACTAATTTTTAACAAATTGTGTTTTTCGACACATATTTTATATTTTATTTAAGTTTAAATTCTTGATATTTTTAATGAATGACCTCAAATGTGTAGTTTTTAAGTAAAAGACATTTAGGGAATGTTAAGTGGGTGTATTAGTGATTCCAAAAAAAAATATTTTTGAAAAATAAATATGGTTTTGTTACGAATATCTACTGTTAGAAGTAAATAACCTAAGAATTATGACTTAGCCTCTCAAAAATTATTCAATTTTCTTATATGTTTTTTATAGTTCAATTTTTGTTTAAGAGCTCACTCTAGTGACCATGTTTAACAAAACCAACTAAGTGTGTACTAATTGAATATTTTTAAAATAAACAAAATAACGTTCATATATTCCTTAAAATTTATATTTCGTGAAAATATGATAACAATGTAAAAAATAATAACAATTAAAAATAAAGTATACTTATAATTTATTTAGAATGTAAAAAAATTAAGTTTTTTATATACTTAAATTCTTTAGAATATTTTTTATCATTAAACTATACAATTGATAAGTTTGTTTTCCGTTGAATTCTTTATCAGTATTATTTGAGTTAAATAATTATTATCAAACAACCTCTAATTAAATAATCTTTATACTACAAATAGTTTGTTTTTGCTGCTGGAAGAATTTATAATTCATAGTTTTGGATTAAAACAACAGTATTATACTATTAAAACTAAAAGTGTGTATTTTGTGGTATTTATTAGAAATTTTACCTAATAAATCTTTGTAAATTAGTTGCAGCATTGTAGTTATTACATTTTGATTTTATTTTTATTATAGATGTAGTTTTATATTTATCTATGTGAAAAATAAATAATTTTTTTTTTTTAGTTATTTTAAAAATAGATTTTATTTCTAACATGGCATTAGCTAATTTACTGAATGGTGCCATTGACAATATGGCAAAAGAAGAAACTGAAGAAAAAGTTAGTATAATTCTATTAGATTAAAAATATTTTAAATGTATTAATATATTGATATTATTATAAGATTCAACATTTATTTTGAAATGTAATAATTCTTAATGTTATACCTTTATGACTTATCATGAAAAAGCTTTATCAGCCATAAGTGTGTTAAGCATGGGTGCAAATGAAAAGAAATATAGAAATTCATCCACCTTAAAAATTGCAATAGTCTTTACTAAATTTAAAAACTTATGCAAAATTAGTCTTAAAATTATCTTGGAAAATCAATCATATTTACTCGTTCATTGGTAATGAAATTTACTAGTTCAATTTCCCTCAGCTAATCTCTTTAATACAAGCATTAAATTATCTCTGTTTGTAAGAGTTGTATTATACAACAATATTAGTATTTTAAATGTAATTATATTAGTTATAAAAATTTGTTGATTAACAACAAAAACTTTTATGTAAAATATCGAAGTAAAACATATTACGAGAAGTTTTATTTTTGTTCAATTGAAAAAATTAAAAGAATAAAAAAATTATTTCAATAAAAATTCTCAAGATATTAATTCATAACACCTCTAAAATGCATTATGACTGTCAAGTAGTGTTGAAAATTTTACAATTTGATAATTCATTTATAGGAAAAGTTATCAGAGTTGTATATAACATTGTTTGATATTGAAAAAATAAGAAAAAGTAATGAAGTTATGATTAATGAAATAAATGTGACCCAAGATCAAGTTATTAAAGAGGGAATGATGGATCCTGAAGCTCAAGTAAATTAATTACAAAATTTTTTACTTGAAAAATAATTGTTTTTAAGTTGTGTTATAACTTAAAATTAGTTATAAAATTTTATTTTATTTTTTATAAAAATAAATTGTTTTGATAATTTATATTATGCTTGAAATTTGATTCAACAATTTGTCAGATTAATTTTGATATTGAAATAGTTTGTTTTATTATTTTTTATCATAAATTCTAATATTAACAATGGTTGAAAAAAATTATTTTTAGAAATTATTGCTTAATTGTTATGAAACTGCTGAGCAAGAAGCAATTCAAGAGGATGAAATTTTAAGGAGAGCCTTATCAATTATTAATGAAATTAGAAATATCCATCATCAAAAAATAAAAGTATTTATGTTTTCAAATAATTTGTTTCAATTAGATGAGATGTTTTATCAAAAAAATTGAGCTTTATGTTATTTTAATTAATTGAATATATAAATTATATTTTTAGTCTTTACTTCAATCTCAACGAAGTTCTACATTTTTAAAATTATTACAAATATCTGCAATTCGAATCCCATTGTGGGTACCTTCAAATGATGAACAACCACCACCACTTTGTGGCGCTATACCTCCTGATTCATCATATATAGCAAAAGTACTAATTTTTTTTTAACTATTTTTAAAAAAAAAATTTATTTAAATTAATCTTATAGAGTGGAGACTTAGTTGCTGCATTAGTTCAACAATCAGGCGAAGACCGATGGATAGTAGCAGAAGCAGTTGGATTTAGTAATGGAAAGTACCAAATAGAAGATATTGATGTAAAAGAAACAAATCGTAATTTTACTTTACCAAAAGACAATGTCATACCTTTACCTCTTATGAGAGCTGATCCAGTAACATGCCCTGATGCATTCTTTTGTTGTGATCAATTTGGTTAGATAATTTTTACTATAAATATTTAAGAATGCTTTTAAATAGTTTATAAATATAATGTATTGAAAAACTTTTTTAGTTCTGGCTATGTATCCTCAGACAACTTGTTTTTTTAAAGCACTTGTCAAAGCTCCACCAAAAACAAGTAATGATGGTTATGAAGTGCTTTTTGAAGATGATTTTAAACAGTATACAATAATGATGGTTGTAGCCCAACGTTATGTTGTCTCATCACCTGATTAAATTTTAACTAAATCATTGTACAGTGTATATATTTATCATTTTTAAGCACAAAAAAAAAAATTATAGCATTTTTTCAATTTTTTATAAAGTTTGTTTTTTATTTAAAAATTTATAAAATACTTTACAAACTGATATTAAGACAGTAGTATATATATATATATCATATTATTTATAAAGCATACTAGTTTAATAAGTATAATTTTGTTTTTATTTATAGAAGCATTCAAAATGTGAATAAAACTATTAAATTTGTTACAGGCACTTAATTGCCATACCTATGTAGCAGTTATGTGTATGTATCCACGTGTTGACAATATTCATAGCTAGTAGTTCAAGGTATTTTGCTGCCTTAATCTAAATCATGTGATGTGCCTTTTATATTTTTTCAGAATGTTTTCTTTTTATAATTATTTTATATTTTAAATAAATACACTTTAAAATTTGAAAATACTTCTCTGGACTGTCTTTATAATTGCCTGTCTGCATAACTTCAATGAGTTTAAATTATGATTCTTGGTATGAAACTGCTATTCTAATTTTTTAAGCTATAAAAATTATTATTTAAAAAAAAATAATAAAATGTATATATTTTTTTATTATTAAAAACTAATAATAAAATCGTGGTTTTAACGTAGTCTAACATTATATTTATATATATATATATATATATATATATATATATAAAGTAGTATAAAATATTCAATTATTATTATATTTTTAAGACATAGTCTATTTGTATATTGACTGTTTTCATGCTAATTGGTGTAACGTTTTGTTAACAATTTTTTTGAAACGCAATAGTGATATCTTATATACATTCTGAAACCTTTTTGTATAGGAAATGTTTTTTTTTTTTGTACGATATTTTGCATAAAATCCTATCTCATAAATAATTTTAAACCATTATAATGTTTTATAATACTGGCAACTCTGTTGACGACACGTATTATCGCACTATAAAAGTTTGTTAGTGCCTTGTTATCACAATTGACCTAAAGTATATTAAAAATTTGAATACTATCAAATTTCTAATAGTTGTTAATCTTTTGTGAGTGATTTATTTATTCTTAAAAGTTAACTCATTTTAACTATCGTAATTTTTCTATATTTTACTGTATAGTATATAATACTGTAAATAATTTTAATTTGTCTGTTGCTTTATTCTTTTTCTTATGTTATAATGAAATAATTCCAATATATTTATAATCTATTATATTCAATGGATTCTAATTACGTCGAACTGGATGATAATGTTTTAAGTCAAATACTTAAAACTGAAACAGATTTACGTGATTATTCACAACAAATTGAAAGTACGTTAAAAAGTCAAGAGAATCTTGCTATTGACAAGTATATAAAAGCAGGTGATCAAATTGTAACTCTACATAAGAATTTAAAAGAATGTGAAAATATCCTTGAAAACACGGAATCTGTACTGTTTACTTTTCAAGAGGAATTAAAAAATATTACCAATGAAATCACTAGAATACAGCAAAGATCAATCTCCATGGCACAGCAACTGTGTAATAGACAATCTGTTAAAGGACTTCTACGTCAATTTATTGATGATATTGTTATACCAGAGAGTCTTATAGTAGCAATTACAACTTGCACTGTTGTTGATGAGAACTTTTCTTCAAATTTATCATTATTGAACTACAAAATATTATTTATTGATGAACAAAATTTTAAAGATGTTAAATCACTAAATGATGTTAAAGGTGTTATAGAAAATTTAAAAATTGTAGCGTTAACAAAAATAAGGCAATTTATTCTTGAGCAAATCAATAAATTCAAAAAACCAACAACTAATTACCATATACCTCAAAATACCTTATTTGAATATAAATTTTTATTTGAATTTTTGTTAAATCATGATTCAATATCATCTCGAGAAATACTGAATGAGTATATTGATGCTGTTAGTAAAGTATATTACACATACTTCAAATCATATTTAAGTTACTTACAGAAATTCCAGTTTGAAGAAGCTGCTACTAAGGATGATTTATTAGCAGCTGAGGACCCTACAACACGATCTTTGTTTCAAAAATCAATGAAAAAAAATACTGTATTTACAATTGGAAATAGAGCTAATGTTTTAAATGAAATTGATTCAGCAATTATTATTCCCCATCAAAATAATCTTACTAATCTATCATTTGAAGCATTGTTTCGATCAGTTCAATATGCTCTCGTTGATAATGCTTGCCGTGAGTACAAATTTGACTGTGAATTTTTCAAAATAGATGAACCACAAGCTCAAAGTCTTTTTTCTCAAATAATGGGTAAAACCCTTGGACTTCTAATAAAAAATTTGGAAAATTTTGTTGAAAATTGTTATGATGCTTTAGCATTATTTTTATGTGGACAGTTAAGTATGAGATATCAAACTATTTGTCAAAAACGACTTGTACCGGTTCTTACTCAATATTGGGATACTCTATTAGCTATGATTGGTATGCGTTTTCAATTTATAATGAAACGTCATGTTCAAAGTGTAAAAGATTATGATATTTCTAAATTTAATAAAGAGACAAAACCTCATTTTGTTATGAGACGGTATGCTGAACTTGTATCAGTTATAATTTCATATAGTGATAATAACAGATGTGAACATGAACTTCTGTGTAACCTTACTGAAGAAGTTTTAGGTTTAGTTCTTCGCATTGCTACTATGTTTAGTACACGCAAAGACCGTTTAATATTCTTAATTAATAATTACGATTTAGTTTTACGTATTTTAATGGAACGTATAAGAGATAATACTTTTGAAGTGGACAGATTTAAGGAAGAGCTATCAGCTAGAAGTAAAGACTATGTAGATGAAGTACTTCATGTTTATTTTGGTGGAATGATGGAGTTTGTAAACGATGCAGAAAATGGGCGCAATATTGATTCAGATTCTAGACAATTAGGCTTAGCTAAAACATTTGCATCTACGTGGAAAATGTCTCTAGAAGAAATTAATAAGGAAATTCTTCCATCTTTTCCCAATTTGACCACTGGAGCATCTTTATTACAATTAGCTTTCTCCCAATTTATAGATTATTACCACAAATTTCAAAAAGCATTACTAGCTCCAAATAAAGCACAATTGCCCAATATTCATGTTATTATGATAGAATTAAAAAAGTATAAAACTAATTACTAAAAATATTTTTATTTTAATTAGAAAAATTGTTTATAATTTATGATCGAATTTGTTTATTTTACAACAAAAAATCTTTACTATTGAAAAATATTATTGTAATTTAAAATATTTATTGTATTTGTTAATAAATTTATACATTTTTATTAATTATATTCCTATCTATTCAATTTTATTGTTTTTTATAAATATATGTATAATTTTGTATTTATAATAAGTACTTAATGAAAGTATCAATTAATTTTTATGTTATTTAAAATAACAATACATTATATGTACATTAAATTAAATTAATTTTTTAATTTTAGTTTCAATTTATTTATTTAATAATTGATAATCCAATAACTATTATATTATATTAGGTTATAATAAGGTCTTATATTAGATTCAAGCAAGCACAGATTCAGAGGTAGGGGCACCTCTGTTATATATATATATATATATATATATACATTATGAATCCATGAGGTCAAGCTACATCCACGCCTTGATCCGAGAAGCAATTATGTACAGAGTATAATTATTTAAATCTTGCATTTTTAAAATATCTTCATTTAGCACTTGTTAATTATAAATATTGTCATTACGAGACAATTTCAATTGTTAATTCTTTTCTTAAGATATTTGATTTATTTGTTAAATGGCTAAATAGTTACATTAAAAGGATAGTAAACTGTACTTTTCAAACTATTTTTTATTATTATAAACTGATAAACTAACACAGTAAATATCATAAGCTGTAAAGTTAAAAAAACTAAACCCAGTACAGTAGGAATGTGGCATAGTTGGGACAAGTATAGATGATATTTCAGTTATTAAAATCCTTATTATATAAAACTCTGATGTAATCTAAAGATACTATTTAATTTTTAGAATGAACTACTGAATTCTTTCAAAAGCAATATTAAATCCTGTTTCCTTAATTATAACATGATTATAGTATTAAATTGAATATGAAATTGATATTTAAAATTTTTTTAAATACCTTTTGCTATTATAAATAAATAAACTTGTTAGAGTAACATAATATACTTTGCTAAAAATAAATGTTATACTCAAATTAATTCAAAATGTAAGAGTAATATGAACATTAAACATTTATTAATAAGTATGTTTATTAATTTTTATTATTTTCATAACAGCGAAAATGTTATAAAACCTAAAACTTTTAGGTAAACATTATAAAAAAACTTTTAATCATGACATTCAAAAAATTGGATATGATGTTAGTGACAATAAATTTAAAAATTTTCTATGCTGTAAAAAGCGAATAATGGGTAAAAAATTTCAATATAAAATGAGTAAATGAATAATACACTACGATAATTAAAATCATAAATTGTATAAAATAATATTGACTTGGGTATGCCTAAGTTTGTAAATACTCCATATGTTCTAACAAATCATACGAGACTTCACTCTGGAGACAAACCATTCAAATGTTGTCTATGATCAAAACAGTATACTAAGTCATCAATTTTACCAAATCATTTTAAGACTATACACTGTTTAGTTAAATAAAATATTGCCTCATAGTTAATTAAAAAATAGAGATATATGAGATGATCAATTATTTATTTTGAAGTGTAATTGGATTATTAAGAGCCCATTAACCAGACTTTATTAAAGAAGATTTATCTTTTTTATATTTTACTTTAAAAATAACTGCTATTGTTGTTATTTTTAAAGTTTAATAAAGTTATTTTGAGTTTCAATCAATAACTGATTAATATATATTTTATAAATATTGGGTCTTTAAAATTTACTAGTTTCTTATGAAAGTTATGAAAACCTACTTTTGTTGACTAAACAACAAATATTTATAATGTCACATAAATTGAACAAGTTTACTTTAAATATATTCAAAAACCATTTAATTTAATATATTAAATTTATATTAATTTAATAAATTTACTGTAATTTTGTTTTAATATTTTATTAAATATTAAAAAGTATCTTCGCTTTAATAATTATATTATTTATACATATACCATTATGTTAAATTATAGATTTAGAAAAAAATATAGTGTCTTTCATTAATTAATGATTAATAATAGATATTATGCCTATTTCATATTTATAAAAAGTAATTACATAAATTAGAAATTTCTGAAGAATTAACTTAACTTAATATTTTGTAAAAACTATTTTCAATGATTACAAAACTATTGAAAGTGTAAAATTTTATTAATAATTGAGTTTTGTTAAATATTAATACTGACAAATTAAAAATATTTAATTTAATTTATTTCTTAGTTCTGATATGTAGTTGCAGCAAGAGTTTTTAGTTTAACTTACAAACAATAAATTAAATTAAAATCTCCTACATTTTTATTTATGATTATTCAATAAAAACTCAAAATATACACAACATGAATATGCAGTTTAACTCAAACATAATAATTCGCATTTTATATTGACTTTTTTGGTTATCTACTTTTTATAAAACTTAAATTATCATTATTGTTAAATTACATTAGGAGACATATTTTAAATTTATTAAGTTTACAACAAATATAAATATAAATGGATGTCTTATATATATATATATATATATAAAATTGAGTTTTCTTAGATTATATTTTTACTAATTATAAATATTTTATAATCTAATTTTTAATAAACGTTAGATAAAATTGATTTTTAGAACAAAAATAATTTTATCACTGTAGCAATTTACATTTATATAATTGTGAATTATAAAAAATAATAAATTAATAATGTATTCATTTTCTAATGTACGTATAACACAATATGTTTTATAAAACGTATACAAATTCGTACCAAACAAAGTGTTTTGAGCACTTTTATTTTTACTTTTTAACAAAGTCATAATTTTGGTGTCATATTGTCTTAAAAGACAAAATTAATGCTTTATCGTCAACTATTAGCAAGTATTTTGTAAGTTAATGTTTTAGTAGTTTTGGACGAATACATAAAAATATACATGTGTCAATATACATATTTTTCAACTTGCAGCCTAACAAGGCGGTATACTGAATGAACCAGCTAGTGATCCTTACGGCCGGGTATAGCAGGTATAGTTGAGACTAGCTCATGAGCTGTTGTCCGAGAGCCTTTAGGTTTGCACACACAACCACTTTCCACCAATACGTAGTCTTGACCTGTTAGAGTGACTGGTCCTAATGGAATTACTAAAAACAAATAGGGTACATACGTTTGAGTACATTCTCCCCTGACAACGTCACATTCATTAGACCTAGTAAAACCACAAATACAAAATTAGAAATTATAGTTTTTTTATAAAAATCCAGATATTATTCATTTAAAATACATAACCTATTACATGAACTTTTTAATATTATAGTTTACATCGGATATTCAAACAATTTAATAAAAACACTCACTCGCACACTTCATAAACGACTTGTTGTAATAGATCAGGGAATTTTTGCACAATGGTAACAGGTTGACCAGACGTTAGGGACACTCCGTACATGGGCGCCGTGGTATTGTATCTAGTGCGGCAAAGACGGTTAGGTGTTTGACATAGTTCACGGTCACGACCAGAAGCAAGCGTGGATCCGTAATCACGAGCTAAAACAAAAATGTACACAAAATAAAATTAACATTTTTAAACAATAAGTTATAAATGAAAAACCCAGCACAGGGGGTCGCGGCACAGTGGTGACGTGGCATAGTTGGATCAAGTATAATGATATCTGACAGTGATTAAAATCACTATCAAAAATAAACGCTTCGATGCAAATCTTTAGATAGTGTTTAATTTTAAAAAAATTGGTGTTTTATTCCAAAAGCTACTTGATCTGCTGGTTCCTTATTAATATCTCGATTAAGATAAAGTATGTCGAATGAAAAAGGGTTTATTAAAAAATATTATTTCTCATAAAAAAATT